AAACGATTATTGAGGTGAAGGTGATACTTTTCAGTAAGATTGAGAAGGAGGAGGACACTTTGTATCATATATAATAGTACGCTACTACACATGAAGTTTTTCAGTTAATTTAACGTAAATTACTTGTCTTGCTGGGTTTAGTCTAATTTTTTTGAAAAGTTTTAATAAGAGTGATTAGAAATTAATTAAAATTATGAAAAATATATAATTTTAATCTGAGGCAATGTAACGAGGTCAATTATTTCTATAAAATATGTGAATCGGGAAGTTTAATTTGATGATTTGAGAAAAATTAAATATATGCATGATCATTAATTAAACTTGATCACATAAATCTTTGTGATTTAATGATCGGGCATGATTATATCTGATCAAATGGTCAGATATGGTTATACATTATAATTGGTCATACATGATGACGTGGGCATCTATGATCGTATGGTCAGAGATGATCATCTGTGAGTATTTGGTCATTCATGGTTATTGATGATATCGTCAGACATAATTGATCATAAATGATGATATGAACGTCTATGATCAAATGATCAGGTATACTAATTTGTGATCATATATGGTTAAACATGGTTTGAGATTATAAATTGATCTTAAATGATCATTGATCACATGAACATCTATAATTAAATGATCAAACAACCATATGTGACCATATGGCCAGGCAGGATCATAAGACCATATAAGATCTAAAAAATTTTTTAATATATTTTCTAAAGAAATTAACGATTGTAATCATAATCATAATTAGATTCAATTTAAATACTAATGCACTGATAATTTATCTATCAAAAAGTGCGCTTATTAATTAAATCACTTATGTACTTTTAATATATTAAAAACAACAAGTATAATGATGACAAACATAAAATTTTATAAATATTAAAATTGATCAAATTTCTAAACCAAAGTTGAGTATCGACGACAATCTGTCTATTCATGCGTAAACACCGATGGCTTCCTTCACTTTTTCTCCTTTTTTATTTTAATTCTTAATATTGAATTCCAAGAACCTTCTTTCTTAGCTCGAACCACGTCCAAATATGATTGATGGAACAGAAAACAGTTCTGATCCAATTATAAAACCTACTTTGAATATTGAATAACTTTTAAACAACTTCTTAGAGTTAGTTTACCTTCGTAGGAAATGTGTCGAAAGTCCCCGGTGGCTGTTGTTAGGATCGAGGTGTGGAGAACCAAGAGGAGCTGATGCCAGATCAAAGCCATTTTGTCACGGTCTTGAGCTGGAATAAAACAAAAAGATACATAGATAAATATTTTATACTATATTTTGTATTGAATTGAGAAAATTCATTTTCAGTTCCAAGTTCTACATCCTAATTTATGATATGGCCTTTTTGACAGTAATGTGGTAATTGATGTAGTAATTTATATTAAAATAAAAACTACATATGTTTAACAGACGTAAATTATATACAATATTTAGATAACCGTACATTTGATGGCATTAGAAGGCCGAGGTTATTCAATTACTAACTAAACCGGAGATAAAATCTTCATTTCAAATGTGTATTATACACAAACAAACCTTTTTTGAGTGATGGTAAGTTTTCGTTATTAATTAACGATAATGATATTTTAAATGTGTGTACAGTTAGTGATAGTATGTATACACGGCTCTAATCTTTTGTACAGTTTCTGGCTTGAGTTTAGAAAATTTATTTAGGTTTTTTTTTTTTTTTTTGAAGAGTTGTCATTATAACGGTGAATTTTGGTTCAATGAATCTGTGCTTAGATAAACAATCGGTGCATCTTCAAAAATAATTCTTCAATTTGTTCTTGTAAATTAAAAATTCATGAGGAAAAATCTTGAACCAAAAATCTTATTTTAGAAAGTTGAACTGTTTTGAATTGAGCAGAAATATACTTGAGCTAAGAAATCTTGGTTCAAGGGAACAATCCTTCTACAAATTCCAAAATATTGAATTTTTTTTTTATTTTGAAAATATAATTGAAACAATACTGGCAAGAAAAAAAATCTAAAAATATTTCGGAAGTTATTGTGCGAACTTGAAAGCGTCGGTGCTCCATTTATTTATCATACAGAAATTTTAAGCTTGGATTTATCGAAAGTGAATTTTAAAAAACTTTTCAAGCTAAAACTTTAAAAGCAATTAATCGATTTCGTTCATCCTTCCCGTGCATACTTTAAAAGTAGAAAGCCTTTTTTTCACATCAATAAAATAAGCGTGAGAAGTACGGCACTTGTGGAGCTTGCGCCAGAGTAGTTAAAAAAAATTTCACTGATCCGTCATTTTGTAAAAAAAATTGTTTTTGTACTTTTCAAAGTTCATGATAAAACATCAAAATTTTATGATTATTTTATCACCTATAAAATCACAAAAAATGACTCATTTTGAGCCGTGTGAAGAAATTTTCTTCTTTAAAATAAATTTTTATCGGATTACTTTCATATGCAAAAGACTAATTCAATCGATTAATAATAAATCCATTAAATATAATCAACAATGAGAAAAACATCCTCTCAAAAAGTGACATAATGTATAAAAATAATAAATATATGTTAATAAATTAACACGTTAGAGTACTTGACGCAATTTCCTTGACATTTACGGGAATTAGCGGGTTTACGAGTATGATGTAAAAGAGTACACACGATACTCTTCTCCTGGCGCTCATCGATGCAGAATATCTCGCAAACGATAAGAGCTCCGTCAATGTGTGATTATGATTAATCACCTTACAAATATACACATCATTACTAATTTATAAATTCACCGAATTCGTTAATTAAAACCGGCATCATTACGGGCCAAGTGTCGTCATAAAAATTTATTTTAATTTATTATTTCAAAGCATTGTTATTATGATTTATTAATATTCGTGAATTACATGCTGGCTTATATTATGAGTTATAAGTTACAAGTATGACTTGTTGAGTTTTATTAAATTATTTTTGACTTTATCTTCCAAGGCCGCTTGAGTTGACCTAACATGTCCAAAATATAGTCCGATATTGTATTTAATGATGAAAAAAAAAAAAGAACGGTCGGTGTAGTGCATGAGAATAAATACAGAGTTCTTGTTTAAACTCTGTCAAGTTTCGCCACCTTTTTTGGGAGCCCTTGCGAAACCGCATGTACATATTTTATATATCGTTACAGTATTACTTGATAGGGAATTTTTCGTCGGTTGCCATCCTCGACACACATTGTGGTCATCATGTGTTTAACTTTTAAAATTTTAATGCAAAGTATTTTATTATAAAAAATTTTTCTCTGAAAATTCAAAAAATAATTATTAATTTTTTAAAATAAGGACATAATTTCATAAAAATTGTTTTTTTGTTTTTTATTATTTAAAATAACTGTTTTAATTTAACATTACAATAGATTACAAAATATTAGTTAGTATGAGTCAACAAAGTAATTACTAATTAATTAGGTGCTATTTTCTAATGTCCATCTGTTGGTATGAAACCCCTAACCTCAATCAATTATACCGACGTTGAATTTCTTCGTCATATTTTAATGAAATTATTTATTGACTAATTGTTACATTTTTTATAAATATAATTAACAGTTTAGTTTTAATAATATTAAAATCAATATAATTTTTTTTTACATTAAATGTAAGCTATTTTTTATTAATCTAGAAGTTTTCTTATTTTAAGTACGAGATTTTTTTCTTAAAACTAGACATTATTTTTTTTTTAATACATTGTAAATTTCTACAAAGGTATATTGATTTATTGTAATATTAATTCTTAAGGTAGTACCCTCGCGACATATAGTGCGAGTAAATTTGGGTATAGTTTAGGATATTTTTGTCTTTCTCACTTGCTATTCCTTACTCACTTCTACTCGTGGTTATTTTTGAATAATACAGTTATTTTTTAATAATATTTAAAAATCTAGATGGTAAAAATCAATGAAAGTTTGAAAAAAACAAATAATAGCTGTTTTTTAATAGTAGTTTAGTTTTTTATGAAAATCTTAAAAAAAGTTTCTTAGTTATAATAAAATATACGAGTAAAATTTTCGGTATCCCGTATATCACAGTGTATAACATCCTCTAAAAATTCGAACTTTGAAATTAAATATCTCTGAAACTAGACGGTCAAAAAATTTCAATTTGCGTCAATCGATGCAGAATTATATAAATATTAATCTGCCAAAATTTAAAAAAATTCCTAAGAAAACGCCTCTGGCGAGGGTACTACCTTAACTGTCTAAAAATTAACGAATATTAAACCAATCAAAATTTAGGGACAAATTATGATAATTTAATTTTGACCTAATTTTTGGGGGGTAAATAACATTAGTAATAACTGACGAATTTCAATTCCAATTACTAAAATTATTCAATAACTTAAAAGTCTAAAAAAAATTATCAACCCTTACAAACTACATTTTTTATTATTTTTCGGGTGTAAATAATAGCAGATTTTTCAAGAAAAAATTAAAAAATATAATTAATTTATTTATAAATATTTTAAAAAATATTTACTCAAAAAATGATCAAGATTAATTTAGTCGAATTTTCTTCTTTGTATATATAGGGAAAAAAATACTTTCGGTCTAGTTATAAAATTTGCTTAAAGCTAGAACAAATATCCTTGATAATTATCGAAAATATATTTTCTTCTTCGAAAAATTGGCCAAACTTATCAAAATATTTTTAACTTAACTTAATTATCTACTTATCATAATTCATTGTCAAAAAATTAAATAAAAAATAAGTGCTCCATTTAAAAAAATTCTCTAGCCAAGAAATCCTCGTGTGAACAATAATTTTTCTCTCTCTCTCAGTGCAACGTAAACATCAGAAAATAATTTCTTCTTAAAAAAAAAGTTTCTTGCCAAAAAGTTCCACCAAATCAACTTAAAAAACTAAAATAAAAAAAATCCATAAAGTAAACGGAAGAAAGCTTTATTAACAAAACAAAAAAAAAAACACTACAAGCGTTAAAACAAATAAATCAAGACAATAAAAAAGTAAGAAATTTATCTACGGCGTTCAACTTTCTGTGTCTTGCGTTTTTCCTTTTTCTCTTCCCTGAGTTTAATTTGTTTTTCCCTGTCCTCCTTGTCCTTGTCCTTTTTCTTTTGACTCTCGAGTTTCGTCCTCTCTCGCTTTTCCTTTTCCTGCTGGACGATAGTAGCGGCGTTCATATTCTTCTCCAATTCGGTCTCGCTTCCGTTCTCTTCATCCCCGTCCTCATCTTCGTCACTCTTTCCCTCCGCGACCTCGCCGTATTTTTTGATAATCGCGTCTCTCAGTTTGCGATCCTCCGCAGAGTAGCTTTTTTTGGCGACGGTCGGTAAATTCTTGGACTCCATCATCCTCGCAAGCCGAACCTCGACGTCCTCTACAGGGTCGTCCTCAGCATCGGAGGTCACTTTCGAGAAAAATTCGTTCCATGACCCCAGGATCTCCGACACGTGACTATCGATATCGTTTTCGGTAACACTCGATATTAATTCCTCTAGCGCCTCACGTTTTTCGGCCAAACTCTCATCACTTTCTAATATCCCTCTGATATAACCCCCAAATACGTCGACGTCGGTGTTCAATGATTCGAGTTTTTTTTTTAACCATTCGTCGAAATTTTCAACTGCAGCTGCCATTTTTTACAATAATTATTTTTTTTTATTCAATATATTTACCGTTTTATGTCAATAACAAACCAAAAAATTTAGCTGTCAACAAAATTACCAGCGAAATAACAACAGACACTTAACAAAATTTACAACAATCACTGAATTTACAATTAAAATAAATACAAGTGTTTAATATATGTTTTTAATATAAAAATAATAAATAACTGTCCTCAGATATATTATTATATTCTTTAATAAAAATTCGCTTAAAAAAACGTGCTCGGATCAATACAATAACAACAGTTATCTGAGGTTAAGGCTAGCTAGCATCAACAAGCAGCCGCGGATCCATAGTCCGAAATAACAGCCAGCATAAATTATACCCCAGCTAGAATAATACAGCGTGCGACACCTTGCACTTTTTTTTCTAACTACTTCATATCTTCCACTCGGCTCCTTGCTTTTGGTTGTATCGACTCTTCGCTTCACGGTTTAGCTGTATATATAGTTGTAGTAGTCTACCGTCTATATATATATGTAGGTGCAATACACTCTTAAGGTTTTTTTAATCTTGTTCTGCTGCCTCAATATAACTGGTCGATTATTTTAATACGACTTTATTTAATATTAAGCACTCTCTTCTTAACGTTTTAGATAATCGTTTTTTAATAAAGCCGCTATTTACTGGTGAATGGTTATCGGTTAGTTTTTAGTGATGTATTATCAGCACCTTCTGTAACACAAGTGTATGGATCTAGTAAATTCAACAGTTGGATTCTATTTAATTCATGTTTTATTAATTATTTATTTTATCTTTTATCTATCATATTTTCTATCAGGCAAAGATCAAGGTCTGGAGTATTGTTAATATTGTTTCTATTTTTTAACTATCGATAAGAAATTTATGAAGAAGTTTTTTTATATTTTGTATTTGTATTAATTTTTAAATTTTTAGTCCAATTCTAAAAAAAAATTCTGAAAAATTACTCAGAAAATTTTTTTACTTATAAAATTAACATATTTGGATTTTTTATTAGTGTTTACATATTTTTTATGTCTGCATAAAATTTTTTAATCAAAAGTGTAAAGTGTGAATTAATAAAAAAAAAAATTGACTTTTTTTTATGTAAATAGACGTTGAAAAAAAAATTTAATATAAAATACTATTATTCATAAAAAGGGAAAAAAATTGATAATTTATGAAGATATACTTTTATAAACTCTACTTTCTCAATTTAAAAGTTTGAGTAATACGTATAAGTACTGATTAATAAACCTGAGATCTCGATTAATTCATGATCGATATCCCATCATCAGTATGCCGGTGATGGTAGTGCAATAAAAATAATAAGTAAAAAGAAAACTCTTAGCACGCTATAATAAGACATACTAATATGGATTGACTACGAGGAGTGGTAGTGGAGCCAAACAAGAAAAACGGGCAAGTTAAAGTAGACATAGACGAGCAGCCAAGATTGGACGAGTTGAGTTGTATTATATTATATGTACGTTGTGCAGAAGACCGATAAGAATATAAAGAAAAGAATGGAATGGTACGAACGTGTGAGCATCCTGAAGGATATTGCATCAGTTACCGGGAAATCCTCGCAGAATGTCAACTCCTTTTTGGTCGTTTTAGAAGTTTATGTTTGATTTTCAATAATTTTTACTATAATTTTAATGTATAAAAACTTTTGGGTAATAAGGATTAGTAAAGAAATATTTTTAATAAAAAGAAAACTATTGATAAATTTTTATGTTTATTTAAAAATATTTTATGGAAAAAATTAACAAAAAAAGCACTCAAAAAATTTTTTTTTACTACAACATAAGATAAGTTGTGGTAAAAAACTATTATGGTTGCATAGGAATTTCAAATCATAAGCTATGATGACAAAACACGGGTCATAATAACTAATTTAATTTATATGTTAGATCAACAAAAATAGTTTTGTAATTGCAGAAGAACCCTTTAGTTAGTTCAACAAAACAGTTAAGCTGAATTAACAAATCGGTTTGTAGAACCAAATAAATTCTTTCAAAAAGAGATAACAAATAGTTTTATTGGTTTATCAAAAATATTTTGTTGCCGTAACATTAACTAGTTAGTTGGTCTAATAAATTTTATTGTTGAACTAGCTCAATAATTTTGTTTAATGATTATTTTTGACATAAATAACAAAATCAATCAAATGCATTTATTGATTAATAAATTATAGTGTTTTATTCTAAAGTACAATGAATTTTAACAAGTTCTCAAGACTCGTTTTTCCCTTGTCCCCATATATATATATATATATTTACAAATAAAGCGAGTCGAGCCTAAAAAAGCCTCAACTAGTCGCATCTTTTGTCTTCTTTTCATCCCGCGCCGTGATTCTGGACCGACCGCGGATCGTGTATGTGTGATGAACCGCGACGGAGAATGATCGTCACAGGATCACGGCGAGGACAACGAGCCAATGTTACGACCATACCAGTTAAGTCTCATGGAGAAGAAATAGCTGACGTTATCCGCGGACAGACAAGTTGGGTTCAACGACCTTTTATTTTATTTGAAATAGCATGAGATAGATGAAGAGTACGTTCGTCTATAAGAGAGTAGGCTTGATCTGAGCTAAAGTCTCTGTTTTAGTCCCAGTCTTGGTCTTGGTCTTGGTCAAGGTTTATAAGTATGAGACTTTTCCATGTATAACTGATGATGGCTCAGCTTGTTTGCTTCTCTCAGTACTCGTCTCAGGTAAACTCCCTTACTAGGATCCCGGTGTACTTGGACATGAGAACTTCACCGCATAAAAGGCGAGACGAGCACCGCGGTGACAGGTTCGTGTTATTTTATATAACCATGTCCATCGTAGTCATAATAATTTACCTTTACTTTTTAAACATTTATAATTGTCTAATATAAGGTACCGAGGAGTCATAAGGATATTTTTTATAGAATGAAAAATTTATTATTTAATCAACAAGTTTTCATGTTGATTATTAATTATTATTCAAGGATAATACTTTCTGCAAAATATAAATACAGCACTATTCCTATCCTACCATAATAATTTTTTACAACTTGTCTTATGTTAAAAAAATTTTTTTTTAATGAATAAATGCATTTGATCGATTTTTTTAATTACGTAAAAAATAATTACTAATTTTTTTTCTTGTTTGTTGAGAAAAGTACGAATGGAAAAACGATTACAGTTTACTTTAATGACCTCGAGTGATTATCGGCGATCCTTATCATCGCCATTATCACTAATTACGAATCAATAATAATATTTAACGATAAGTGGTCGTAATTACCTAATTAGTTATTGAATACGCTATCTTAAGCCGAGTAGAGTAAAACGTAAAAAATATAAGTAATAAATGAAAATAAAAATAAAAATAAAACAACAAAAGTCTCGACTCGACTTAACTAAGAGTAAACTAAAAGTGCGATAATGAAGGATGTCAAGATACGCGCGGATAAGAAACAACGGTTATCGTATTTTTATCATTACTGTGCTGATGGTTAATATTTAATAAAATATTTATTTATAATTTATATACTTTAGTAGGTGTGGCATGGGTTCATATTATATTAAAATCGTATATTGATATTCATATTTTACTTGGATCTTGGATCTTTTCTTGGAACTTGGCTACCAACTTCCGCCCGTATATATCTGGTCTCTGTTTATGCAGGGCCATGCGGCCAACTTATATACTGACGATAGTTCAGTGTATAATAAACTTATACCTATGACGTAGAAGAAAAATAAATTTTGATATTTTAAGACTTGAACTATTTACTTCCTGTTTTACATTAATCTGCTTTAATTTGTAAAATTATTATTATTACACCGTAAAAAAATTGCGGAAAGGATGATTTTCAATTAATTTAATCCCTTCGGGGTTAAATTCACTTTTAGAAGGATTTCATCTATATTATTAACTAAAAAAAACTCCACAGAGTAAATTTTTTATAGAATAAAAATAAAAAAAATAATTCTTACTCGTTTTAAAATTACAAAATGCGTATTTAGATATTGTTATGTAAAGAAATTTTTCTTTACATATTTATTAATTATAAAAAATCGAGTATAATTTTATTTAAATTTTAACGATTGTAAAAGATAATTCGAGTGTGGTCATTAAGTGTCTCGTTCGATCTTTGCAAAAGGCCCAGGGAAATTCCCGTAATTAGTCTGAGGGCCCAGGTATTTTAAAGAGATTAAATAGATAAATGGGAGTTTTGTTATACGTAAGCAAACTCACTTATACTTAAAATAAGAAATACTTAAGTAATGATAAAGAACATAAGATAAAAGATTTATTTTAAACCGAAAGATTTTAGAATAACTTAATGACAGAATTTTAGTGTTGAGAAAAATATTGAAATAAATTTTAATATTGCACTTTCCGAAATAATTTTTAGACAACAAAATTAAATATGAAATGAAAAAGAAATAAAAAAATAGAACTTGAAAGTTAAATAATTAAAAATAAACAAATATTAAACAATTAAATTCTAAAATAATACAACAAAATTATAAAACGACAAAACAGAAATATTTCTACAAATAAATAATTAAATTCAAGGAAACGTAAGAAATGTTAGATTCGAGTACATATTTATTCATATGATTTTAATAAATAAATTAATGTAGACAGTACAAATGTATGTCTTTGTCTATGCGTAAATGCGCTTACGTATACACAAACACATAGATGAATAATAGAAAATAAGAGTAAGTGAAAAAGTATGTTGCACTCAGACCCAAGTAGAGGGACTCATGCAACATTTTTAGACAAATTTAAGAGAGAGGGTAAGGGCCCGAGAAAATAGACAAATAATTGGACATTTGTTTCTCCCAATGAGTGGAAATTAGTAACGCCCTAAAATTTGACACCTCGCAATTGTCACCAAAAAATCTCTCTCGTTGTCCTGACGTCCTAGTGTTAACATCGTACATAGTTTAAATAAGTCTCAATAGACCACGTGTAAATCTATTGTATAAAAAGTAAAACATTTGTAAAAGTAAAGT